AATGATAAAGCTCTCTTTTGAAATGGTTTTCAGTTTAAATGGGTCAAAGTTAATCCAAAGTCCAATCAGAAAATCCCTCTCCCCACTAAACCCACTGGTGCATTTTCATATCCCACAAGCAATGTAACTTTGTATAAAGTGATCTTGTAGCACTTTTGAAACTAACTGAAAGAAAGAATTTGGCAGCATGAACTTTCATAGACTATGGAAGTAGACTGAAATCTAGGAAAGTGATTCTACAGACTAACACGGCTATATCTTTGAATTCTACCTTTGTGTAAAGTGTTGGTGTAATAACCCAGTTATCAGATTCATTCTAATTTACAACATTTGGCAAAACACTGTAATGAAAAGCCACTATTTTTGAGTTAAAACATTAATGAAGTAATTGTGGCAATACATATTTTGCACGAGTCAGCCCAGCATTGGGGCTTTGCAGATGGCGCTTTGCGCCATCTTCAAGCCAAGGAAGGGGAGGGGCAGCCAGACTCTGGGCACCCCACTTCCTGAGGACGTCATCAGAGCACCCACCCTTCCACACGACGGGCGCTCCGATGATGTCCTTCCGGCTCAGCATCCAGACACGCTGAACCGGAAGAGGCGCAGAAGAGCCGCATGGCAGCTGTTCGTCGTCACTTTCGCAGCTTGTGGAAGGAGCACCATTTTAGCGCTCCTTTCCCAGGCAGCAACAGGGAGAATTGGGGCCAAGGCATGGGGCAGCCTCGGCCCCAATCCGCCACTTCCCAGGGCGGCCCATGCCCGCCCGTCTGCATCCCCCCATTGTTACCCAAACTAAGAGTGAAAAGCCCAAACGAAACATGTCTCGTTCTGCATAAAAGGCATTTCTAGCTCTCCACTCGTAAACTTAAAGTAAATTACTTTAGCATAAATAGCATAAAACCCATTTATAAATGTATTGTCTTCAGCTGTTTGACAATGGAAAACTATATAAAGTAATTTTTTACAAAGAAGCTTACTAATTATTTCAATGTATGCTATATACCACAGTGAAATACTTAGTAAAAGATATGCTGGTGCATGAGATTATTATTAGGCATAATAATGTCTTCTGCCAGCAGAAACGCCCTTCTACTAGCTGATCTCTAGATCTGCTGACAGCACAGCTGAATACCTCTGCTAAGATATGCTGCCAGAAGAGTCCAAAAGATGGGGAACTAATTATGGTTCAATAAAATAAAAGAGAGGGAAACTATAAAGCTCACATGTGTTATTCTGGCAAGTGTTATGTATGTATGTAAAATAAAAAACAATTATATAAAATACAGCCCCAAGTCTCTCAACCTATCAGTTGCCATTTCTGAAAGGAGTGATCACCTGTAAGAGGAAAAGTGTTTATTAGGTCTCTTTCACACTACATAACTATACACCTTGATATCACTTTAAATCCCATGGCTATATGCCATGAAATTCTTAGATTTATAGGCCTTGAGGTATTATTTCTCAGCCAGACAGTTCTAGTGCTTCATCACACAATGAATTTCAGAATTTCCTAGGATGCAGCCATGGCATTTAAAGTGGCATCAAAGCTGTGGAGTGAGGAAGAGACTACTAAAGAGGCACCTTTCCCCCCCACACACACAAGTGATCAGTTCTTTCAGAAATGATAACCTGCAGAATTTTAAAAATGGTACTTGCAGATGCTATAGCTGGCATATAGCCTTCAGTTGCAGTTGCCTGTCCTGATTAATTGTACATGGTTTGGACTCAGGATACAATTTCTGTAGTGGGAAGAGACCTTAGTCTCCTGTTCAACTGGTGATCAGTAGGGTGTTTTTTAAAAATAAGAATATGCAACATTTTTTTTCAACAAATTTAATGGAAAGGAGAGTTGTGGGTTGTTTTTTTAAGTGGGGAGAAGGGGAAATTTACAGATTCATCCATCCAGGCAGAGGGCTTGGAGTAGCAATTCAGAGTCTATTTGTGGTGCTGAATTAGACTCACCACTTCTTTTGTTCTGTAGGCAGGGCCAACGTGAACCTCATCATAAAGGTATGGCTGTACCTAATGAATTTCGCCAGTGTCAGAAGATTTAAAGTTGTTTGTTGCTGTTCTAAGAATAACACCAACATTCTAATACTTATTCATACATTCAATTCATACATTCAGTTACAAAAGATGGGGAAAACAGTTTTGTATTCTGACACATCTGGATTTCCAACTGAAATTTCATGAGATTTTAAATAAGGATACAACACTGCTTTCCCCATCTTTTGTAATCATGTCCAGACATAGGAGATTACGGAAAACTGCTGTCAATAAAAAGTTACGGGACTGTTCCACTTCACTGATGGGAGAAGGACTGGATGAGAATGACACTATATCGGGTAGGCAACCTTTCCCCTTTAAGGGCCATGGGACCTCAGCTCCCAGAATCCCAGGAGCTATTGGCCAACATGGGACTATTGGCCAACATGGCTGAGGCTTCTGGGAGCTGAAGTCCCTCGGCCCTTAAAGGGGAAAGGTTGCCTACCCCTGCACTATATGATCATCTTTGCTCAATTGCGTGACAGTGATGGGAGCATCCCGCTTCTCTCCCATCATTTTTCTCCATCTGATAATCTCCTAAGAGAATCTAGTGTAAGTGTAGCAGTCAGACGGTTGGACTAAGGAGATATGGGACCCATTCACACTACAGAATTATAAAACTCTTACTCCACTGTAATTGGAAAACTGTTTGCAACCAATAGCATCTTTTAGAATCCTAGGATCGGCTAGAGAAGAGCATGTAGTATTCTTAGCCTTCATTCCAGAGCATCACCAAACTAGAAATTCCAGGATTCCACAGGACACAAGCATGATAGTAAAAGTGGAAAAGCAACACTATTATTTGTGTAGCAAATGGGCCCCTGGGCTCAAATCCCTAATCAGCTTTGATGACCTTGGACCAGCCTCTAACAGCCTATTCTACTACCCAGGATTGTTGGGATGATAAAAGGAAAGGAATATAAATAAAATTAAAAAATATTTGAAGTCACATATGTGATGAAGAAGTACCACACACAGCACTAGGTTCTAAATCTAGAGTCAGGAGGTCTCACAGCTATACAACTTTTTTTAAAAACAAATCTATACCTGTTTATCTCAGTATGTCCCACTCAGCAGAATTCAACAGAAGATTGTGCTGTTTGTAAGTCCCTTATTTCTAATAAAGATTTCTAATAAAGATAAAGAAAACAAAATGTTAAGGAACACTACACACAATACCACACTGAAAAATCAGACACAAAAATATTTTATATGGCTTTTGTTTAATGCTACATTTTCCCTTTCACTTCACGTGAAATCATCATATTTTTCCATCTGCCCCTCATTACTGCAATAACTGGTATTAAAACATTCCTCTGTAATGGTAGTGTGATTTTGTGTTTACCTCAGAAAGAATTTAGTGGCTTGAAACAAAGTTAAAATGACTTTTTTTGGGAGGGGGGAAGAATTCTAAAAGCTTACCGGTAAAAAATATAGTGGGACCAATTTAGTAACAGCTAAGCATGCCTAAGTTCAATTAAACTCAATGGAAAAGAATAATGACTGATTCTGATTTAATTCAGCAAAACACAATCATGTCTAACTGTTCACGGATTGTGCTCTTCTTTGTGAGGATTTAAATATGAATTTAACAGAATCAATCAATGTGGGTTATTTGTCTTGAAATAAAGCACAAGCAGATCTGATGACAGTATTTCTAATGTGTTTTAGCCACATTGTTCATTTCTTCACTGCAAATTACTATCAAATTATTGTCCTGGTAAAGTACGGTACAGTAAACTGTTTGCAACCAATAGCAACAATTATTAGATTCTTTGAACCCCTGATACGCTAGAACAAGAAGACACTTGGCTGAATGAGAAAGAGTTGGCAGCTTTCACTAAAGCGTATCTCCGTATCAAGAGTTGCCAACTTGTGACTGTGGTGTGAAGAAGTTGTCAAACTCAGACCATTTGAAGAATCAGACTCCTAGCATATTTTCCTCTGGAACTTTTTTCAGCTAGGGAGTTGTTAATTTCCAAAATACACCATCCTATCTTAATCTAATGCAGGGGTAGGCAACCTTTCCCCTTTAAGGGCCGAGGGACTTCAGCTCCCAGAAGCCTCAGCCATGTTAGCCAATAGTCCCATGTTGGCCAATAGCTCCTGGGATTCTGGGAACTGAAGTCCCTCAGCCCTTAAAGGGGAAGGTTGCCTACCCCTGATCTAATGTACACATTTACACACTTTGGACCTTATCCCACGCTGCTCTCAAAAGTGGCAAGAAAGCGATATGAGCATCATTGCAGTACTATAGCGCTAGTATAAATATGGCGCTAGCGCTATAATAGCGCTATGGATAAGCTCGCGCTATTGCAATGCCCGCTGAAACCGACATTCAAAAGAACCCGAATGATGCTGCATTCCGAGCGGTTTCTTGTTGGATTCTGAGCGACGTCGTGTGATCACCCGGAAAACTATAGCGCTATAGCGCTTGATTCTTAGCCAATTCTGAGCGACGTCGTGTGATCACCCGGGAATGTATAGCGCTATAGCGCCTGATTCTTAGTGGATTCTTGCTGCTTTTGGCCCCGTGGGATAAGGTCCTACGTCTCACCAAATTACCAATATCTCTCTCTAGTTACCAATTCCTTTCTCCCTTGGGTTTAAGCACCTCCAATGCAACACCCTCACTTGCCACTATTAGCCACCCAAAATCTTTGCACATCTCAGAATGACTTCTTATTTAACAAAGCCATCTCATCAATAAGCGTTCCCACCATCTAAATCAGCTTCTTTCTCTCAACTGTCACTGGATTCCCCCATCCATCCTTCCCACACCCTTCTCCACCAGCTGCAAACACAAGCAAATTCCACACTTCACTCCTATACTCCCTTAAATTCTCTGCACTCCTTGAAATCCTTGAGTCTGCTTTAAAAGGAAGATCTATGCTACCAGGCACATATTAACAGCTACCCTTCAGTTGGGTCTTTTGTCCTACTTAAGGACAAAAGCCAGTGTGGCATAGTGGTTTGAGTGTTGGATTATAACTCTGGAGACCAGGGTTTGACTCCCAACTCAGTAATGGAAACTGGGTGATCTTGAACAAGTCACACTCTCTCAGCCTCAGAGGATGAGCATGGCAACTTCCCTCTGAATAAACTTGCCAAGAAAGCCCCATGATAGGTTCGTCTTAGGGTCCCCATAAGTCAGAAATGACTTGAAAGCACACAACAACAACACTACCTAGCTCTGAAAATGACAGAATAATTTATAATAATAATAATAATATTGTATTGTATTGTATTGTATTGTATTGTATTGATTGTGACAGATGTGACGGGTTATTAAGTGAGCCTCAACCATTACATCTAACTGCACTAGTCTAAAGTGATGGTCTGTGGATTGGTCCACAAGCCATCAGGTGTCTGTCCCAGGAGAGTATACAGAAAAGAAATAACTGTAGCCAATGGGCATAAATATGGTTCCTAGCACACTGATGGGGGGGGGGATGTAATTCCACCATATTGGACAATGTAATAAGTATTGATCTAAAGAGAGCCTGTATGGTGTAATGGTCTGAATGTTGGATAAGACACTGGGAGACCAGGGTTTGAATCCCCACTTAGCCATGGAAACCTTGGGCAAGTCACACTTTCTCAGCCTCAGAGGAATGCAAGGGCAAACTCCCTCTGAACAAATTCTGCCAAGAACACCCTGTGATAAGTTCTCATCTTAGGGTGATCAGAAGTCAGAAATGACTTGAAGGCACACAACAACAACAGCAAAAGCAACAACAAAAATAACAGTTCTAGATTATATTGGCCACTTAGCAAAAACTGTATGAAATTATTTATTATTGGTGACAGATGATCACTAGCATTCCCAATCCCACTCCTATCCATTCAAGTGTCATCAGAATACTGTGCCAGAGAAGAAATAACTTGGGACTCGTAAGTAGGTACTAGAGTAAATCTCAGCTGATAAGCCTGAGTTTATCTGGCTTCATAGGAGAGTTCAGGTTTTATTTGCTCAAGGACTCATTTATTTGTCTTTTTAGCAATTCGTTGTATGTTAGAATTCTTTTCCAGCACCACATATCAAATGAGTTAATTTTTCTTCCTATCAGCTTCCTTCACTATCCCACTTTCACAACTATACACAGAAATGGGAAATACGACAGCATGGACAATCCTAATTGTAGTATTCAGTGATATATCTTTGCATTTCAGAACCCCGTCTAGTTCCTTCATAGCTGTCCTTCCAAGTCTTAACCTTCTTCCAATTTCATGTCTTCACATTGATTAACGATTGAACCAAGGTATGAAAAATCTTGAACTATTTTGATGTCTTTATTATCTACCTTAACATCCTCTAACTCCTATGTAGTCAAAACTTTTGCTTTTTTAAAGGTTCAGCTGTAGATCTGTCCTTGCACTTTCTTCCTTGATTTGCTTTAATAATAATTCCCAAGTCTTTGGTATTTTCTGCTAGTAATCTGCATATCTTAGATTGCTGGTATTCTTTCCTCCAATTTTCACACCTCCTTCTTCTAAATCTGATCCTGCTTTTTCCCCCCACTTTTTTGGCACACAAGTTAAATAAATAGGGTGATAAAATGCAGCCTTGCCAATTGGAAACCACTCCGTTTCTCCATATTCTGTCCTGAAAAGACAGACCAGAAAAGACAATAATGCTTGGTAAAGTAGAAAGCAATAGGAAAAGAAGAAGACTGCCTTCCAGATGGATAGATTCAATCAAGGAAGCCTTGGCCTCGAGTCTGAAAGACCTGAACAGGGCTGTTGGTGATCTAGGGTGACTTGGAGGTCTCTCGTTCATAGGGTCACCATGCTAAGTCAAAGTCAACTTGACAGCACTTAACAACAACAAAACTCTCTCGACAACAGCCACTCTGCCCTCTAGAGGCAACTGGCCTGCAAAGATTACAGCACTCACAATGTACAAATCTCTACAAATTGTACAAAAACTTCAGATTAGGATACCCTTTCCAGAAGACGACAGTTTCTCTCTTATGTTGAGTTCACAAGCATGGAGTATTTTTTCCTCCTCAAAATCTAGTCTGGGCTTCCCGTCCTAACTCCCTCCCTCCCACCAATGAACTACTACGGTAGTACAAAAGCAACGCAATATGTAGGTCAAAGTTTACAGTAGTTTATGTATGACAGGGAGGGATCAATGAACAAGCATCCATTTTTCCAGAACTATAACCGGATGAATTAAAATGCACTATGCCAATCAGAATATCTTGGTTCTGACACAGAACAAAATGGGCATCCTTCATCGCTTGAAAAATATATTGAGCTAATGTTAAGAAAAACAAGAATTCAAACCATTAGGGATTTGTATTTTTACACACTCACACACACAAAAACACCAACCAACAATTTCAAGTGTTTGTTTTGCAGTCTGAACAGTGTATTACCTACATAATATGAAGTAATAAGATACCGAACTTAAGTCTGGAGAACAACATAATGAATCACAAATGTTCCCTTGCAAATTAGGTCAGCATATGGCAAACCCCCACTGAAGAAACCTGCCATGAAAACCCTGTGAAAGCTTCGCCTGAAAGTCTGAAATGACCAGAAGGCATACAACAACAACTGCAATGCAAGCTACCTGGAAAACGCAATTAAAAAGGACATGTTTAAATAACAGAAGCTGTAGTTACATGACTCTACGCACCCTACAACTGCACACCAACCACATGTAGAACAGCAGGAAGGATTTCATACACAGCCAACCAACACTGATCTTGTACAAAACAAAATATTCCATGCAAAACTAGGGCCTGATAGCCTGTACATGCTGTCATACTCAGTTTTCCCATCAAAGAAATTAGAAATAGACCTTTGGATTTGTGAAGACTCCAGCAGGTTTCTACCATTCCTCCAAAACCATGAGCTGCATTAATCCACGGTAAACAGATACCATTGGAGGACATTAATTTCTACTGTAAAAATATTCTGTCTCTATGCCTATTAGAGCACAGCAGCTGCCTTGATCTTGTTTCTCATTACAGAACAATTAATTCATTTTAAAAAAAAAATCTTCTCATTTAGATAAAGGGTTTGTAAAGGGTGGAAGACTTTCCTCTTCGATTCTCCAGACTCAGTTGCTAAGCGTGCCTAAGGTGACTGATAGGGAGTTTGTCCTTAGCATACTAGAATATTATTTTTATATTTTAGCATTTTATGGTGTTGTATTTTATCATCCACCTTCGATTATATAGTGGGTGCTTGGTATCCCCTGGGATTTGGTTCCAGGGCCCCCTATGGATACCAGAATCCATGGATGCTCAAGTCCCATTAAATACAATGGCAGAATACAATGGTGTCCCTTCCATAAAATGGCAAAGTCAAGGTTGGCTTTTTGGAATTTGTGTATTTTAAAAATATTTTCAAGACATGGATGCTTGAATCTGTAGATATGGAGAGCCAGCTGTATATGTTTGATGTTCTGTTCTTTGGAGAACATAATGATAATATTAAATATGTTAATAATATGTGTTTATCTTATGGGTCCTTTTAAATCGGTGTATTTTAATGGATGTGTGTTTAACAGATGGGATGTATCTGTTAACTGTTGTCCCCCTATTTTGGGTCCATGGGGAGAGGCAGATAAGAAATAAGTATTACAGTCAGCCTTCCATATCCACTAACTTTTTATCTACAGATTCAAGGATCCATGGTGTGAAAATATTTTTAAAATAGATAAATCTCAAAAAAACAAACCCTGATTTTTGCCATTTTATACAAGGGACACCATCTTATTGTGCTATTGTCTTAAATGGGACTTGAGCATTTGTGGATTTTGGTATCCTGGAACCAAACCCTAGCAGATACCAAGATCCCATTGTATTAAACCTCAATCCATGAGGAGGAGCGGGTAAGAAATAAGGAGGCACACCACATCCGTTAAAACCCATCTGTTAAAATACACATCGAGTTAAAAGGACCAATAAGATGTGCACATATTAAAACAATCTACATTTAAAATTCACTATTTAAAAATCATCTGGATAAGCCTGCTGGAAGAGATTGGCCTTTAATGCTCTTTTGAACTGAGACATCATATTCAGCTGTCAAATCTCTTCTGGCAGGTTATTCCAGAGTTTTGGGGGCGGCTGAAGAAAAAGACCTCTGGCTGACAGTTGCCAAACTAGGCCTGGTTGCCTGGAATAAATGTCCGCCAGAGGACATGTGCATATGGGGTGGATTATATGGGAGAAGACCATCCTGTAGGTAACCTGGACTTGTAGGTTTAGTAGTTGTGAAACACCATGTGGGAAACCCACAAAGATGTTATTGACAGGGAAACGAGAGAACCATGGAATCACAGACGCAAAAGCAACCCCCATCTGATAAACAGACAGTGGAAGGAGGCCTGCACAGACTGCCAGAAATAATGCAGCTTGAGACCACTTTAATTGCCCTGGCTCAGTGCTAGGGAATCATGGGAACTGTAGTTTATTGTGGCCCCAGAGCTCTCTGACAGAAGGCTCAATGTCTCAGAAAAAAACTACTATTCCCATGATTCCCTTGCATGACAGTTAAAGTGGTCTCAAGCTGGATCAGGGCAGTCTGTACAGGCCCTAAATCTTCTTTTCCCTTGTGTTTGAGAAGCTAATCTATTATTAATATTGTTGTTGTAGTTATTACCCTTTCTGCCAAAGAGTGAAACATCAAACATATACATATTAAAAATGATTTATCATATTTTTCCCCAAAGGCAAGCTTTGCAAAGCCTGTTTCTTTCCAAGGAGGGGGGGATGTAAAGGGGGGGG